CAGTCAGGGGCCCTGGGAGTGTGGGGAGCTGATTGGACAGTCAGGGGCCCTGGGAGTGTGGGGAGCTGATTGGACAGTCAGGGGCCCTGGGAGTGGGGAACCCTGCAGCTAGCATTTGGTTCTCAGAGGCTGGGGCCAGGACTCCGAGGGAGAAGGGGCGGGGTCAAGCATGGTGGGAAGGCCCCCAGAGAGTGACCAAGGGGAAGGCCGCAGGCAGCAGGTCCAACTGTACCATCGCAGTTGGGGAAACTGAGGCCGAGCGTTGCCACCTGCTGGCAGCCGCAGCCCTCGTCTGACGTGAAGGCAGGGCTCAAGCCCCTCGTACAATAGGGGGATACTGGGAAACCCACACACCAGAGTTGGGGGGTTTGAGATTTGGGGGGCACCAAAGGGTTTAGGACACCCAAGGAGGAGGACCTATAAGCTGGGCGAGGGGTGGAGTGGGACATACAGGAGACTGAGGTGCCAGAAGTCAGGGGTCATAGGAAATGGAGGGGGCCAGTGGAGATGCTGGAAGTGGGGGGTCCTATAGTCTGGATCCTGGGGCAATTGTGGGGTATGAGTATTAGGGATCCCTATATGTCTGAGGCCTGGGGGGATCAGGCCTTTAAGGCTCTGGTGGGCACAGTGAGCAAACAGAGTGTTGGCAGGTCATGGATTTGAAAAATTCCAAAGTTCTGACATGGGATGGTTTTGGGGATTCCAGAAGCCTGGGCATCCAGGAGCCAGGAGTTTGGAAAGTGGGAATAACAAAAGCCCGAGGACTCTGGGGTCAGGGAGCCCGAGGGTCAGAAAGCTGGGGTCAGAGAGTAGAATCATGGGTCACACAGCAGGGAGCTGAGATTGGATGCAGGTGGCTGGTGGGTACCCGGGTGCCAGTTACGATTTCCTTCATTGTCATCAGGAGACAAAGGAGATTTAACAGTGACACCCACAGAAAACCCAAACTGCTGCCCTCAGCGTCGTTCTGATTCATGGCGGCCTCATGTGTCACACAGTATGATCGCTCCATGGGGTTTCTGGGCTGTAATCTTTGCGGAACTAGATTCCCAGGCCTTCCTTCCCTTAGATGGTTTCAAACCACCAACCGTTAGGTTATTGGCCAAACACAAACCGTTTGTGCCACCCAGGGCCCTTCTGACAGTTGGGAACTCTTAGGTAAGGACAATGTTAACATTTTAACAAGTGAGGGGAGTGTCTGTCCATCACGGAATTCTCTGTCCCTGTCTGTATGCTTGCCACATGCCTCGTTAAAATAAATGTGGAAAAGAAAAAAGGGGACCCGGAGTCAGAAGGCTGTGACGTCAGGGGGCAAGGAGCTTGCAAGCCAAGGGGGCGGGTCCCCGGGAAGGGGGCGGGGCCTGCGGGAGGCGGGGCACTGACCGAGCCGCCCTCCACGATGTCCCTCCAGAGCGGCCGGTCCGGGGGCTGCTCGGCCAGCTCCAGGAGGTTGTCCAGCACCACCTGGCCGATGAGGTCGTGCCGCGAAAAGCGGTCGAAGTCATAGACGCTGAAGTGAAGCTTGCGCTGCGCCAGCTCGGCCAGCGGCACCGCGAACTGGAACGTCTCGTTGAACACGGGGTTCAGGGTCTTCCTGTGCACCTGGTGGGGGTGGGGGAGGAGAGGAGAAAGACCAGTGCCCCCCAGCCCTCCGCGCACGGACCCGGGAGTGCAAGGCGCCAGGACTCTCCGCCCTCGGATGCAGGAGTCCGGGCCCCAACACCTCCTACC